ATGATAAATATGCAACAGTTCGAAACAATGAAATCTATTGAGAATAACAATAAAAATAGAAGCGCTTAGACTGAAATTAAGTCAATTAAATTAAACTTGCACGATAGCAAATACAGTTTCAGATCGTACACTCTCATATGCTGCGCGTGTCCCTATAGAAAATTGTAAAACGCAGCCGGCAAACCTCTTGTCTGAAGCTGTAGACTCACCTGTTGAAAATACTGCACTACCATTTACACTGGTTAGTAGAAATAAAAAAGACCACATTTAAATAACAGCGAAATCATTCAACGGACCGAAGATCCACCTAAAACTGAAAAATTACATTATAAAATAGTTGGATAGAAATCCGAACGCATTAAATTAAAAGCTAACAAAATACCAAAATTTTATCTTTATCTCGGCACTGTTGCAGAATGTGCAAAAGATGATGTAATTGAAGAATCAAAATTTAACAATATTAATGTACTGTCATGCAACCCAGTTTTCAAGAAAGATCAGAACGAAAGAAAAAATTAGATGAGAACATCAAATCAACATCAATCAGAATTTGCGTTGAAAAAACGACCTAAATAAAATTAGAGATCCAAACATTTGGCCATCAGGCGTTATCATACTTGGTTGGATTTTTAACAAACCAGCCGCGGAGCCGGACAAAAAATTTACCTCAAAATAACAGCAATGAATTGACGACCGAACAACAAATTCAAAATTAAACAACGTGTTTGAAAATTTTTATCAGTTTTTAAATAATTCACCTTATTATCATACTAATGATATAAAGAGTTCAGTTTTTTCAATATCTTCTTTTAACTTAAATCATTATATATCAACTTACGTAGTTTGTTACATAAAGGAATTAATGATTGTAACTCTTTGTATCTTTTTAATATTTAATTACGAAATGTTCTGTCTTTAAAGGATAATAATTGGCTAAAATTTAATTTAATTAACATTGACACATTTTTTTCTATTAACAATTTTATTTTATTCTAGTTCTAATTTTCTACATATTATCAGAACATTAAAAAGCTATTTTAAGTTACACGATGGCCGAGCCTACATGAATTTATTTTTTTTGGTCCCCGAATCATATTCAGAATCATTCATACTTTTTGTTCTGTTTCATTATTTCTTATTTAGATTTTTAAAAAAGACAAACAAACCCATCATCATCTGAGACATTTGATTTATCATTTATCTCAGTCTTAGATTCTTCAACCGCGAATGATCTCTCTTTGTTACGTGCTAAACTGGACCTATAGATAGACAGCAATATTATTTGTATGCGAAATTTTAGCCAAATCAACTTTTAAAAACAATATTTTCAAAGAAATGTCTTGCCCTAATGAAAAACGCGTTGACTAACTTATCTTCAGTATCATTTCGTTCTTCCAATTTATCTCCACTTCCACTGACCGCCGACTGAAAAAACTTGTTGATTTTCTTCGTTCTATCCAAGTCCGTATTGTTTTTCAATTCTTTGTCTTTTCGCAATTTTGCATATTGACTCCCACTTAATCTTTTTCTACCATCGCTCATTTTAGCTCTTTTTATGAAACTACAAATATGGCCTTAACACGACAAGACAAGAAGGCGAATTTAAAAAAGGGTCTATCTAATTTAATGATCAAACCACATCCACATAATTAAAATTACATATATTGGAAAGAAAATATTATCGCCCACATATACTACGTACCTTTACTTTACTTATAAGTTGTACCTTTATCTTTAGATTAATAATTAACGTTTAGTAATCAAATAAATCATAATACAAGCTCATCAAACTCATTAACAAAAACTTTTGTAAAATAACAGGCACTAATAAAGTGATTTCTTTTGATCGCTAGAAATTATTTAGTTTTTCGTTTTTCATTGTTGCCGTTATGTTTGAGTTTGTTGGGTCATTATTAGTGAACAGTTAACATAATTAACTGCGTTCAAATTTTTGTAGCTGTGTATACAATTATTGTGAAAAACGTGACCATGGAAAAAAATGGTATTCGTACATATTGTTACAATTTAACGCCACTTGTAGTCATTCGTCCTCTGATTAATTAATTATTGTTCCAGTGATAAAAGTACGATTTTTTTGCATGACATTATCGGCTATATGTTCCGATACATGTATTTTAAATATATGATTAGAACGAATGGCAACTGTTAATCGATTTTTTAAAGTTTTAAATTATATAAACTTGAACACCATAATTTTTGAGTAAAGTATCAATTTCAATAATTATTTTTATTCAACTTGAACATTTTTAAATAACTGGTTTTCAAAATTTGCCGCCCCCCAAAATTTGCCGCCCCAGGCCGGTGCCTGTGCGTTAATCCGCCACTGTTAACATTCACATCCTAATTCTTGTCATTATACATATTTTATACATTATACATATTATTTATACATATATTATAAATTAGATTTATATCATCATTCATGACATTGTTTACATCAACATTCATGTATCAATTTTAATTAGGGATGCACCAAAGTTCGGCCCCAGCAAAAATCCGGTTTTTTCAAATTACGTTAATTTTTACAACGTCAAAGTTAATCTTGACAAAGTCAATATTTCCCTATATATACAGCAAGGAGCACTGACGATGATTCATTCGGAATCGAAATTTGGCCTTATTTGCAGCATGAATTCGAAAAATAAGTTTATTTTGAATTTTAATAAACTAAACGTTCACCAAAAAACTTTAGTGAGAAAAATCGAAAAAACGAACTACAAACATATTAACGCCAAACATTCGGTAGAATTTATAGAATATTGTAAATATATATATATATATATATATATATATATATATATATATATATATATATATGTTAGACCATAATTTTTACAATATTCTTACTTGTTTTTACAATATTTTTACAATGAATATTATATATATATATATATAGATATAGATATATAAGCGCATAATTTAAAAACATGGCATGTTAAAGGTTAGGCTAGGTAGGCATACATGACACATAATAACAACATCACTAATTGTGAGGTGAGCTGGACAATTTTTTTTGTGCTATTACATGGGTTATGCATAAATTATAAGCTGATCTTTGTGTAAAAGAACTTGTGCACGTGCATACATGACACATAATAACAACATCACTAATTGTGAGATAAAACTTACATACAACGGAAATTATTGATTCGTTTTCGCTTCGCTTCACATGGCCAAACCATCGTTGGCGATGACGACGACATGCATTCTTCAACATGCACTGTCCCGATCGGTTCAGGATCTCGGCTGTATGGATATAGTCATTTAGTTCAATATGCTGCATCCAACCAACGAATCATCTTCATGTCAGTTTGGTGAAGATGCTGTTTGAGTTTTGCTGTCATCGGCCGCGTCTCTGCGCCATACATTAGAACAGAACGTATAGCTGTGTTGTATAGTTCTGAACGAAGCGGTAGAGGAATGCTACGCCGCATCATTACCGAGACAAGAAGTTGCCTCTGCCCCACGCCGCACGTATGCGTCCACGAACGGTGGCATCAGCTGTTTCAGTACAATCCAGCATATCTCCCAAGTACTGAAATGAAGTAACAGTTTCGATCCCGGTAATCGTATCATTATCTAGGCTCCGTTGTCGCGGGTTGATGCAGGCGGAGTATACGGAATCAGTCACTTTCCTCAGTGAGCCGGTAATTTTCGAGCATCGTGTGTGACACCACTGCTGACATCGTAAGCATTTGATTGAGTTGCTTCCAACTCCAGCCCCACAGACCAAACATGGCCAATGACCAGATACCACAGACTCAGCGGTACCACCGGTGATCATAGTTTTTGTTTTGTCAATGTTGACCTTTAGCCCGTGTTCGGCAAGCTGGGTATTCCATACTTCAAACTTTTTGGCTGCATCTTGTTCCGAGGCCGCCGTTAGGACGATATCATCTGCATATATCACATTCCATATGTTATCTGAGGGTATCGGTTTCGTTATTCCTTCCATTACCGTGATGAAGAGCAGGGGGCTGAGTATTGATCCCTGACGAACGCCGACGTTAATATCAAATGCATTCGTGTTACCGGCTGTTGTGCTGGCCAAAGGTTTTGTGTTAGAGTATGTTGCCACATAACCAGCCGAACCAGATATTTGGGAACAAGCTGTCTACGTAGACTCCACCTGATTGCCTCACGAGGCACTCTGTCAAAAGCCTTTTCCAAGTCCACAAAGACATGGAACAGTCGCTTTTGCTTTGCCATTTATTTTTCCTGTAGTTGACGAATGATATAGATAACATCAATGGTGGATCTCCCTGCCATGAAGCCGTACTGGTAACCACCTATTGAAAAGCACGACAACAGTCTTCTTTCAATGACTTTTTCAATAACTATCATGGGATGTTCCAGAAGACGTATACCCCGATATAAGGAGAATTTCAGTGGATCTTCTTTTCCTTTATATATCGGCACAGTTGTACTACTGTCCATTCCACTGGTAATATCGATTTACTCCACATCTCCCGACAGATGTGTAAGAGGGCTTTGTAGCCTGCCCCATAAGATGCCTTGATGATATCATTTGTAAGTCCAGACGGACCAGCCGCTTTACCCACTTCATTGCCTTCAACGCATCGTAAGCTCCTCAGCTGTGATGCCCTAAATCGGTTCTTCCACCGGAAGTGCATCAAAGTCCATCCCAATATAGTTTGTTTCATTCAATAACTAATAGGAAGTAATTTTTCCTGTGATCTTTCATTTCATTCTGCAAGGTTTTAATAGTGCCTTTATTATTCTTTATGCATGTTCGCCTTTACAATGGTGCCAATGATAATAATAATAATTATATTAGCGATAATACGTTCATAACTATTGACAATTTTATTTGCAACAATGTTTCGATAAATTTTATAAAATCATCAACTCAACTTACAACACGTACTACCCAACGTCAAACATCACGATCAGATCATCAGACCCTCCATTCATCAGCCCATTCATCAAATATCTACTAAGCTTAAAAAACTAATTTTATGAGATCAGGATCCATCCTCAAAGCTGCAGCGATCACCAAATACACCAACACACTTATCATCAACTTCAACTCAAAAACCTTTACTAACAGCAAGCGTGGAAGCAAAGCCATGTGGGACCAAGTCAACAAGATCAGAGGCTCTGACAAATCATTCAACACGTCAACCTCACAGCAAATTGTTGAAAACACAATCAACACCTACTTTGCTTCCATGTCAACCGACCCGTTCTACAAAATTCCACCAACAAAAGCAACAACAATCAATAGCCGTCATCAACATCAACAATTTACCTCATTCTTCGTCCTGCACATGCTGACACAGACGGTCTACTAACATAGTTTCTATAAATCATCGCTCCATTCATCTCCAGCACCTTTAGTTCACTTTACAATCACTGCTTAATGCATTCATTTGTCCCATCACAATGGAAATCCAGCACAATTCATCCAATTCTTAAAACAAAATACCAACAATCACCAATAGATTATCCCCAAATATCTATCACCCCCATACTTTCACGTATTCTAGAAAAATTCATCGTTAGGTCATGCTTCTATCCATGTTTCAACCATCCATTCATCAAACCAATATTACAAGATCAGTTTGTATTTCGCTCTACAGGTTCATCTACATCCGCCATCATCTCTCTTACTTCTACAATAGCATCTTTCCTTAAAAATAATAATTAAATTCATCTTATTGCTCTCGACTTTTCTAAAGTTTTGACACTCTCAATCACTTTTCTCTTTCAAATAATTTAGCCTCTCTTCCTCTACCTGACAACATTTACAGTATTATAATAAATTTTCTTTCTAATAGGAGTCATTCTACTTTCTTTAGCTCTACTCTTTCATCTACTCTACCTATTAGTTCTAACGTAGTTCAAGGTTCTGTCTTTGGACCATCTACCTTTATCATCAATGCTTCTACTCTCAAAACTTTTCATAGCTCTAATCACATCATCAAATACGCTGACGACACCAACTTTATCATCCCATCATCTAACTCAAACACCATCCAATCAGAACTCGATTGATTAACTACACGGTCAAAACGATGCAATCTGTCACTTAATCTCAATAAATCATTTAAACTCATCAATCGCAATAGCCGTAAGAAAATAACATTACCTCCAGAACACCCATCAATCACTCGCAGAAGTCAATTAAAAATATTATCACATTCACCTCCACAGTTAATATAGCACCTCATATCAATCACATCATCACAAAAGACTTTCAAATATTTTACGCACTCAAAACACTTCGCTCACATGGTTTCAAAGGCATCAAATTATTCGACATCACTGAACGCATCAAATAAGCAGCTCCCTCCTGGTCTGGCTACACAACAACAATTTCAGCAACTACAATCTCTCATCAAAAAACTAATCCGCTTCAACTATCTACCTGCATCATATCCTACCGTCATTCAGATATTCAACACACTCGATTCAAGAGTGTTCAAGAAAGTATAAAATAACAACAACCACGTCATCCATCCTCTACTGCCACCAATTAAAACTACAACACACAACCTTCGTCAACGCAAGCACAACTATCTAGTCGCCACCAAATCTACATGTCGGGAAAAGACCTTCATCACAAGACACCTCAAACATATACACATTCAATAAAACTTTATAATTCACATAAATAGTTTTTATTTATCGATCTCCTCACTTACTAAGTCATCATCAAGTCTATTAATTTGCCTTTTTACGCCTTACTGTAAATTTATTGTCAATTGATTGATTTATTGTCAATTTATATTATTATTATTTATTTTATTCTATTTTATTTTACTTTTCATGTTTGAACATTTTTCTTTCTTCGTTTATTTATTTATTTAATAATTCGTTTAATTTGCTACTGCTTTGCATGCTGTAACACTTTCTGCGTCTGTCAGGTCCTGATTTTTTTCAATAATTGCTATTTTTGATTTTCATGCATTACTATTTCTGGATTATTTTCAATTTTAATTATTATGCACTAACTTCAAATACTTTATGTTGATTTATCCATTTTTATTAATTTGACTCATTTATTTATTTAAAAGCCACACAACCAAGAACAAATACAAACGTTTTTACATTCCAAAAGAACTCTTCACTACAAAACAGGTTTTTGTTCGTGCGGATTCTCACCGCTCATCACTACAACCTCCCTACATGGGCCCTACACAGTGGTGGAACGACACCAAAAATACTTTGTCCTTGACAAAAAGGGGAATAGAGACACGGTGGCCATTGACCGCTTCAAACCCGCATACACACCGGTAGCACCCAAACCACCCATACCGTCACCTATACCAACGACCACAGCGCCAACATCACCTTCTACAACACTTTCTGCAAAATCAACTTCGTCGTTGAACGACACATCAGCATCAACAAAAACGTCAACACTACCTCCAATAGCATCCGAGGACACGCCAGCATCAGAAACATCTACGTCGACTCAAGCACACCAAAAGCGACCCATCGACTGGTGTGCTTGATTCCACCACCTCAGAGAACCACAAGATCGGAAAGAACAGTTCATCTCCCATCTCTATATCTTGATTAGTATCGATCAACAGCTTACGCTGACGATCTGGTGGGGGGTATTGTTGAACCGCAAATCCCTTATTTAAGCATGTGACGACTAGCTATATATCAATCAATCAATCAATCAATCAATCAATCAATCAATCAATCAATCAATCAATCAATCAATCAATCAATCAATCAATCAATCAATCAATCAATTAATCAATTAGCTTGTAAAGCGCTATTTCCGCGATGTTCCGCTGAACTTCGAAAGTGATGGAGAAGTAGTCAGAGAAGTAGGTAGAGAGTTCCAGAGAAAAGGACCAGAAAAAGCAAAGGCAGATTGGGCAAAAGAGTGTTTAACACGAGTTAAGAAGAAGCGAGAACAAGAATACGATCGTAAACCGGGGCGTTTAGGTTCAATTAATTTATCTGATAAATACTTAGGAAATAATTTAGATTGAGACTTATACATGAACGTGCAAATTCAAAAAATTATTCTATATTTTATAGGTAGCCAGTACAAGAGAATCAATCTCCATATCTTGATATGGAGATATATGAGAAAAGAAAGGGGCACGAGCAGCAGAGGTTTTCAATATAGCTTGAAAACAAAGGCAAACTGCCCTTCTCGCTACGTTTTACAATCGAACTTCTATTTGTCAAATCGTATAGCCGAACACGTTTTTGTTTATTTTAGTATTACGTAAATAATATACATTATAAAAATTTTTACTTGTTGTTTCTTGCATCGAAAGAATCTCGCAACTATTTTTGATACTACCTTCTTTTCTGATGTTGATGATTTTGTCTATGCTTAATATCTACATCTTCTATTCTTGATAAGCATAATGATTCCTCTTAAATCTTATACTTATAAGGTTCCTTGGTTCGACTATGCTTATGTATTAACTAAGAAAAGTGTTAGAAGACTGGAGAAATCCTATAGGTTAAATCCATCAAACTCTCTTTATTCTATCTAGGAATCTGAATTAATTAATTATTAATATCTACTATTTTCTAAACACTCTACTTTTCTTAGAAATTCTATAATATATGCTTCAACATCTAAAAATAGATGGTCTGTTTTATTTAAACTTCTTCATAAGAAATCCTCTCACTATTTTTTTTCTGTTCAACAGTTTCATGACTTTTTTGTAAATAAAATTAATTCTTTAAGAACATCTAATTCTAATTTTTCTCCTAATAACTTTACTAAACTTACTACTGAATCTTTTTTTGTTTTTACTCCTATAAATGTATAAATCTTCTAGAACTTACTAAAATTATTAATTCTATGTCATCTACAATTTGTTCTCTAGATCTACTTCCTTCTTATTTACTTGAAGAATTTTCTTCAATATTTTATCCTATCATTCTCAAATTAGTTAATTTATCACTTTCCACCTCCAAATTTTCTACTTCTTATTGTTATTCCTATTCTTAAAAACTAATCCTTAGACCCTACCTCATTATCTAATTATAAACCTGTTACTAATATTACTTTCATCTATAAAATAATAGAAAAGTAGTTTATAATCAATTGTCATTTTATTTAAACTCTAACTCCTTGCTACCTGTATCTCAATCTAGTTTCAGACCTGCTCACAGTACTGAAACTTCTTTACTCGTTACCCTGTCGAGCCACCTCCAGGTGTTTTAGATCATAGTTTCTTCTCATGTTTTGTAAAAACACGTCATGTGAGGCCTACTTTCACCAGTTTATTTGTATCGTAGACATTTGAAAACAGAACAAGTATAACTTATAAAATTTGTCAGATAATACTTGATCAAGTTGGAAGATGTTTGAATATCACGTTGTCAGTCGCAAGTTAATTAAAACCACGGTAAGTTATTATATGTATATGTACGTGACACTCCTGGGGGAAGGAGATAAAAGATTTTGTTGCTAATATAAGTTCGTGTATATACTAAAAACTGAAGAAAAGAATGATAAAACTAAATTTTTTTTAAAAACAAATATAAATATAATATATATATATATAATTGATGAAAATTACAGCATGTTTGGCGTTAGCTAACTTCCAATTTAACTTTTTGATTTTTCTAACGGTTAAATCATGAAGTCCTTGTATCACTTCTTGAATATCACCACATTTAAACAACAAAAAAATGATAAGTTTCATAAAATTCATAAAATCATTTTCAAGTTTCTATAGTTTCAAACCAAAATTTTGGTTTATTTTATGCATGATAGAACAAAAAAGCTTTTTTCGGTACTCGTATATCTTCTTCGATGTTCAAATTGATATATAATGCGTATTTGCCCAGATCAACCGTTAGAAAAATCGAAAAGTTAAATTGGAAGTTAACGCCGATCATACTGTGATCTTCATCAATAAATGCATGCATATATATATATATATATATATATATATATCAATAGGAAACTTATATAGCGCCAATTAAATGTTCTCAAAGGCGCTATCGTAATTATATAAACATTGAAGTCTACAATACTATAAAAAGAAAAAACACAACAACTTAACTAAAATTATCAAAGTTTAACAGTGAACAAATATGTTTTTAATTCTTTTTTAAATGTTCTAAGAGACAGTCCGGATGATCGCAATGATTGTGGCAAGCTGTTCCACACGGTCGGACCTGCAACAGAAATACCCCGTGCACCAATCTGCAAGTGTGAACAAATTCATATCATCTGATCGTAGATGAGACGACGCAGACATTTTTTTTGAAAATTTGTTTACGAGATATTCTGGTGACATCCCATTCAGTGATTTAAACACAAGTACAGCAATTTTGAAGGTTACTCTTTTATCTATTGTCAACCAGTGTAGTTCCTCCAGGATGGGCGTCACGTGATCAAACTTCATCCTGCCAGTTACCAATTTTGCAGCCCTGTTCTGAATCGACTGAAGAAGAGCTATTGACCTTCTTGGAAGTTTATAAAACGGACTGTTGCAGTAGTCAATTCGCGATGTTATAAAAGCATAAATCAGCGTCACCAGTGCCGATCTATCCAATGAATGTCTGATTCGATAAATGTTTCTTAAATATATATTACTTGACGTACATATTTTTTTAATGTAGCCTTTCATTGATAAATTGCTATTAAGTAAAACTCCCAAATTTGATGCAGTTGCAGATAATGATATCTTTACCTCTCCCATCTCAACAGAACAGAAATTAGTAGTTTTGACAACTGCTGCTACGTACCTACCGGTAGCAACTGCGTTTTACATTCATTGAGCTTGAGCGAGTTTGATGACATCCAATATCCAACTTCTTTCAAACACTGGACAAAATCATCAACCTTATCGCGAAACGAACCTGGAGGACCAGTGACTAGAACCTGAATGTCGTCGGCAAACGCATGACAAGTGAATCCATGAGAGGAAATTATTTTGATTATATCTGCTGTGTACAAAATAAAAAGAATTGGTTTCAGAACTGAGCCTTGTGGCACACTTGTTGTTACCAAGGCAACATCAGACACTGAATTGTTAAACGAAACCTGCTGTGTTCGTTCGTCAAATACGACCTGAACCATTTATGAGCTGTGTCTGTAATACCATAATCGTTACGTAGTCTTGCCAGCAAAACATCATGGTTTACACAATCAAATGCTGCTGACATGTCTAAAAACGATAACAACGATAAGTTCTGGACGTCCATTGCCGAAAACAAACCAGACAAAACATGTAACAATGCTGTTTCAGTAGAATGGAACTGCCTATAACCGGATTGATTACAAGACAGTCGGTTATTTTCAGATAAAAACCTCAAGAAACTTTTAGCCACTACACGTTCCATAATTTTCGAAATGAATGAAAGATTCGATATCGGTCTGTAATTATTAACATCATTTTCGTCACAACCTGTTTTCTTCAAGATGGGGAGAACCACAGCATGCCTGAAAGAGGAGGGAAATTCACCTAATTGAAGGCAGCAATTAACAAAGCTGGTCAGAAATTTGATGAAAAATTTCAAATACTTTTTTAAGATGTGAGTTGGAATGACATCCTGTGAACTTGTCTTACACGGGGAATTGATTATAATATCTTTCAATTCATCTTCAGTGACCATCGGGAAGGATGAAAACATAACAGCATTATGTAGCCCACCATCATCTGTCGATTGAGTAGAAAGTTTGGTAGACTGAACAATTTTGCTAACTTTGTCCGTGAAAAACTGCAACAATTGATGGGCTGTAATACCAACATCACTATCGAACATTGAACTTTTCTTGTTTCTACACAACACCTTATTAATTGCCTGCCATTTATTTCTCGAGCTTTTGCTGACTTCAATTAAATTTCTCCAATAATCTGAACGTTTGTCAGAATATAATTTGTTTCTTGCTTTTATGGAAGTTATTATTATGATCATCTGTCGACAGTTTTCTGAAGATTCTTTCCATTTTTCTACATGTTTGTTTAGCTTTTTTACGATCATGATCAAATCATGGTGCCATACGCTCACCTCTATCATAAATTACTCGAACAGTTACAAATCTATCAACAATACTCTTTAACTCGTTGTTAAACATTGTTAGTTACTTTTCGACATCATCATTACAGCATGGTTTAGATACTGGTGAAGTTAAAATAGCACCAATGAATTTTTCCTCATCTACTCTTTTCCATGACCTAACTGATTTCATCGCTGTTTTAGGGGCTGGCCGAACAATCATTGTTTCTATTTTTATGAAACTGTGATCCGATATTATTCCACTAAGATAGATCTTAGCATTAAGTACTGGAAAGACATGTGAACTGACAACTAAATCCAATGTACCTCCTAGAATATGTGTAGGAACGTTGACATGATTTACTAATTGAAATATATCAAATATTTCTTTTAAACGAATAGATTGGGGATCAGCAGTTCTCTCAACATGCAAATTTAAGTCACCCATCAATAAAATGTCTGAGTTTAAAATTGTTAAGTACTCCAAGATTGAAACTGGTTCATCATAAAACAAAACTGTTATTGGAGCTGAGCCGGGTCTGTACATAGCTAGCAAGATGAATACGCTTTTATATATTGACAATCTGATTGCGATAGCTTCAAACGTACTAATCAATGACAGAGTTAACTTTTTAAATTTGAACTCTTTGCGAAAGTAAACTATCAAACCACCATGACCCGGATCATGCTCTCTAATATAATCAACAAACTGAAACCCAGGCGGCTTTGCCAAACCAATTGCAAAATTACCATCCAATCCATGCCAAGTTTCTGTCAGCACCATGACATCTAAACCATCACAAATCAGCCCATGAACAGTGTCAACCTTCTTCATAATTGACCTGACGTTAAGTAATCCAAACATAATATTGCCATTTTGATTTCTGTCATCCATGTCATTATTATCGACTACTTCGAGTCTTTCTTTGCAAAAAACTGAACTATCTTCCATTTCCCGACCTCCCCTCTGACTCGATATAAAAAACCCTCTTTGCAACTCTCTTCCTTCTTCTTGGCATCATCAAGTAATTTTTTCAAGTCGCTTCTTTGTTGAATTGTAAGGTTATGACTTAACCGAATGTTTTTCAAACTATCATCTAAAGTTTTCATCCTACGTATGTTTTTGAAAATAAATTCTTTAATTTTTGCATCATCAAATCTGAGTCAAATTGGTCTGACAACTTTGTCTCCTTTCTTTCCTAATCGTATCACCTTCAAGACATTTTTAAGACCAAAAACTCCATCAGTTAAATGGCTAATTATTTTATGAACCCTCTCATCATCATCAGCACCTTTCTTCAATCCGAATAGCATCATGTTGGCTTCCCTCTCTTTTGTTCAGCGTTATTTGAACACTTTTCGAATCATTATTGATTGCTTGCACACCTCTGCCAACTTCAGATTTGACAACTTCCGAAAAAGATCTGTTCATTTCACGCTTTAAAACCAATATTTCATCACATAACTTTGACCCAAAAGCATCCATTCTCGAAAGTTTACCATCACCCTCATCAATAATAGTTTTGATGGCGTCAATCTGCTGTTTAATATCCATATTCAATTTTTCAATTTTTTTCATCTCATCAAATACTGCTGAGTTGCCAGCTTCAATTTTTTCGGAGACAATTCTCTCGATAGGTGATGAGCCAGAACATGCAACACAAAAAATTCTTACGCAACTGAATGCTGTAATTGAAGTAAGTGCTTCATCAGACATGCCTGGAACCAAGAACGACACCGAACAACCGTCACATACTACATTAACGCCTTCCTTATCACAAGCAGCTGCTTTGTTGACACTCTTCGTATTTCTGCTCGGCATTGTCGCAACACAAAGTTATCAAAATACTCGTAAAAATCTTTTGAATCACGTAATCACGCAAATATTTTAGTTTAATTTATTTATATATATATATATATATATATATATATATATATATATATTCGTATAAGTAAGGGTTTTCAAATATGACTTTCAGAAATGCATTTATTGATGAAAATCACAGCACGTTTCTTTCAATATATATATATATATATATATATATACACATATATTATATATATATATATATATATATATATATATATATACACACACACATTATACTCTGACTACCCATATGCTTGGTGGTACCCTGGATTTGATTGTTATATCAGATGGTTTTTTGTTAGAAGATGTATTGGTGTATCCATCTGGTATCAATCAATCAATCTTCGTTTTGCGTCCAGAGACCCGGTTTCCCAAGGTAGGACGTTGTTTTCTTTGCCATCAACTTTTTGCGCCAAATTAGACGATCAGTTGTATCCATTCATTTAAATTTAGAGCTTTCATGTCTTGCTCGATTGTTTGCGACCAGGACTTCTTTGGACGGCCTTTGGGACGTGTGCCAGGTTCTTCAACATCTGCAAGAGAAGTTTTGGCACTGTTTTCACTTCGTTTGACATGACCAAACCACCGCAGACGGTGTTGCCGGCATTCGTCCTTTATATCATCTAAACCAGCACGACGGTGGATTTCGGTAGATTTGATGTGGTCCTTCAGACTAATTCGTTGCATCCATCGGAGCATTTTCATGTCGGTTCGTTGAATTTGTTGTTCCAGTTTGGTTGTCATTGTATCCATCTGGTATCTATTCAGATTATGGTTTAGTAGTAGCTAGTCAATTTTTAATCAATCCGACTCCAGTGATTTTCAAGAAATCGTGGATTAGATCCAGGAAACGAGTGGATAAAAAACGTCTGAGCTTTTTAAGTGCTCAGCTATCTCGAAACATTAAGGTCAGGATGATGATGTTGAATTGGGTTTCAAAATATTCAATGAAGAGCTTTCAAAAATAGCTGACGATGTTGCTCCACTTCATGAAGTTCGATGGAAATTACGTATATCTGAGTTATCATTAGCTGGGTTTATAAAACGTCTTTACGTTTTCTAAACCCAGCTTATGATACCTCAATTTTTAATCAATCCGACTCCAGTCATTTTCAAGAAATCGTGGATTAGATCCTGGAAACGAGTGGATGAAAAACGTCTGAGCTTTTTAAGTGCTCACCTATCTCGAAACATTAAGGTCAGGATGATGATGTTGAATTGGGATTCAAAATATTCAATGAAGAGCTTTCAAAAATAGCTGACGATGTTGCTCCACTTCATGAAGTTCGATGGAAATTACGTATATCTGGGTTATCATTAGCTAGGTTTATAAAACGTCTTTACGTTTTCTAAACCCAGCTTATGATAACTCAATTTTTAATCAATCCGACTCCAGTCATTTTCAAGAAATCGTGGATTAGATCCTGGAAACGAGTGGATAAAAAACGTCTGAGCTTTTTAAGTGCTCACCTATCTCGAAACATTATGGTCAGGATGATGATGTTGAATTGGGTTTTAAAATATTCAATGTAGAGCTGGGTTTATAAAACGTCTTTACGTTTTCTAAACCCATACGTTTTCTAAACCCAGCTAATGATAACTCAATTTTTAATCAATCCGACTCCAGTCATTTTCAAGAAATCGTGGATTAGATCCTGGAAACGGGTGAATAAAAAACGTCTGAGCTTTTTAAGTGCTCACCTATCTCGAAACATTATGGTCAGGATGATGATGTTGAATTGGGTTTTAAAATATTCAATGTAGAGCTGGGTTTATTAAACGTCTTTACGTTTTCTAAACCCAGCTAAACTCCTAGTGATTTCCACCGATAATAGCTTTGCTTTCAACATGCTTTACACGAGCAGTTATGAGGAGCAATTAAAATTTGCGTTATATAAACACAAAATTTTTGATTATATATATATATATATATATATATATATATATATATATATATATATATGTAGACGACGGGTATGCCGGCGGGCCAAAGAAAAGACTAAGACTGTGCCCCATAACAAGCCCAGATTACTTGAATGCCAAAGCTGAGAAAAAAACAGGAACCAGAATCCCTAAGTGACTCCCCATTTTCAGCAACTCTTGCGACTCAGCCGAAACCAGGCTGAATTGACGTTCGTCTTTCCCTTGGTCAACTGTGAGGGGGTTTGTTACAAGTCATTTGTTAGAAATGTCATAAGGTTAAAAAAAGTAGTTTTTTACACTACGTAATACCTAAAAGGCTCCTTACTTCAAATAAAAATATTTTTACTTAACTAATTGCACATGTTTATCCATTTATTTAGAAATTTATATAAAATAATTCATTTAACTAGGCACATTAATTGTGCTCAGTGAACACGAAAACACAATAAAATAACGTTTTATAATATTGTATATTTCTAAAAACGCTCTTAATTGCAAAATTATAATTTAAAACACTAAAAAATAGAATGACGATAGACGTCCAGGCAAAAAAGTAACTCAGAATGAAGTATGAATAAATTGAGGAGAAGTTTATTTTGTATTTCCAACAAACGTCGGAAAATGACTGAAAACATCCAACTACAAATTAAGTAGTTATAAATTTAACAAAAATGAGATAAAAATTTATAAACAATAATAATGAATTGAAAAATGACACAATTTAATTCCTAAAAAAAATATAGAGCAACAAATATCTCCAATGGACCTGATCGATTAAGGAATAAATATTAGGTTTAATCATTGCAATGATTAAATTAAACTTGGAATAGTCAATGAAGTCCAATTGTATTTTGGATTATTGGAGTGAGCAAAAGGCAAAACAGGAGGTTCAATTAAGTACCACGTATCAAGGACAACTGTTGCCTCTTGAACTACACAGACTGCACCATATGGCACTTTTCTTGAAATTTCTTGAAACCCTGAAAGACTCCTTTTAGATTGGCCAATTAACTTTCTGGTGCAAGAATCTAAATTTCCTCCATGCGATATGAAGAGAATGATTCCTCCTGAAAGTTAAAATTTAAAAATTCATTACCAGCATTCTATGAACGCTTATTCATCTGATTTCAGAGTTACCTAAAATTCTACTTCAACAGAAAAATGGTCAAAAGTCCATTACACCCTTCCTAGGTTCATAGGATTAAACAACAAGCAAAAACGTCGTATATGAATACATGCTAAACGATGCATCCTACACAAAGATATCTTTTTGACATAATCGAATCGAACCCGGTCACTGCACGCTTTGTGAAACATCACCAGGCGACCTTAACTACTAGGCCATCACGCTGCCTATCATTTTAATTATCTAGTCTATTAATCATTACTAATTTTTTATTTTTTGCTACAGCTCAAATTTTTTTCATTTGATTTTCAAAATAACAATTATGCTATTATATATTATCCCATCAGTATAATTATATCAATCTAATTATAGCAAGGCAATGGTAATAATTTTCAAATTAGTTTTCATCGGTTATGTTCAGTTATTTTTGGTGTTTTTTAGAAAATAAATAACACTCGTAAAAAGCCATGTGCACATTACTCCATTGACGCCTAAAATCTCAGTTCTCTGAGCTTTTACAAAGTATTTAAACTGGCGTATTGGAGAAAATGTCCATTTTTAAAGATAACATTTAAGATATTCAACATATTCAAAGTAGCTATTCAAAAAGCTGCAGATTGCCAGATGGCATTTGGTGACTGGAATGTTGAGAAAAATGGCTGGGTACATGCAATACGTCTAGGGGTAAAAATTACTTCAATAAGATTTTTCATGCCGGAATTTGTGTTGATAAGATTTTACAAGTAAGAAGTAAAACTTTTAAAACAGACTGTATCGTTCTAGAGGTACAATAAAGTGAGTAGAAACCAGAATATGTAGCTTTAACAATCCTAATAACAGCTTCTGCTTCCAGGCTGTTCAATCTTTCGCATCTAGTCCCTTGAGATTAAGTGCTCTCATGTCTTCATAACTGAATTTGTATTCAGGTCTTCTTTGGGCTGCCCCGGAAGCGAGCACTTGGTACCAACTTGCTTAACGTGACCAAACCAATATAGACGGTAAAGTCGACATGCACTCTTCATCGGATAATTTTCATATCAGTTCGAAGAAGTTGTTGCTCGAGTTTTGTTGTCATTGCACTATACATCAATATTGTACAGCCCTATGTGCAGGGACAGTGGAGTGTCACGCCCCATCGGCACTGATAGCCGTAGTGAAGAGCCTTCAATTAAAAAAGAGGTAGAAAAACCAAAGATACTTAGATTTGAAGTTTATGCCACTCTTTCCAAAATGATATCAGATAAAGCACAGGCCCAGATGAGATTGTTGAAAAAATTAAATGCCTTGATAAATTTGGAATTGAAAAGGTGAAAAAAATTTTGAATGAGATATATAACAGCAGCGAAATTCCTGAAGATCTATCCAATTTAACATTTACTGCTTTGCCTAAAAAACCTAATGCAAACGAATGTGAACTACATTGAACAATCAGCTTGATGAGTCATCTTACAAAACTTCTCTTGAGAAAACTGATGATGATAGCACGAAGCAAAACCAGATCTGAAATTACAAATGTCCAATGTGTTTTTGTAGAGAATTGTGGCACGAGAAACCCTATATTTATGCTACAAATTTATTTTTTTTATATATTTTTACAAATTTATTTTATTTATTTCTAAAATTATTGAAAAAATTGTTGCTTAACAAATTATAAGTTATTTGAACGCAAATAATCTTTTACCTGTTAATCAATCTGGTCATAGGCAGCACCACTCAACTGAGACGTTGTTACTACAAGTAACATCAGAATTATTTAAGGCTTCCGATGCTGGACAGATTTCTATACTAGCTCTCCTTGATATAAATGCTGCCTTCGATTGCGTTGAGCATGATACTCTTTTTCGTCGTCTTTCTATTAGTTATGGTATAAGTGGTTCAGCGTTAGATTGGTGATGGTTATATCTTTTCAATCGGTCTTAACAGGTTTGTTTTAATAATGTCCTGTCTGATAGTGATGTTTTACAATCTGGGGTACCGCAGGGTTCTGTGCTGGGCCCACTGTTGTTTATGCTTTACACGGCTGATGTACTAAACGTGGTGAATGAATTTGGTTTCAGGGCATTTGCATATGCCGATGACATTCAGTTGGTTGCCAGCACCTAGTTTTGTTGTTGGTTTAAAAGAAAGACTTGTTAACTGTCTCTCTAAGATTGATGTTTGGATGGACCAAAATGGCATTCAAATGAATAAGTCCAAAACAAACTTACTTCCCGTTGGTACGTGGCAAAGACTGTCCCAGACTGACTTAAATTCAGTTGAAATTGATGACACTGATTTTTGCAGGAATTCAACTGTCCTTGGATTTACTATCGACACCAATTTGAATATGTGTGATCACGTGAAAAAAGTGTCTGTCATGTGTATGGTTCAGTTTCGTCGCCTTAGACTAATTAAAAAGTGTTTAACTAAGAAAACTTTATGCGCTCTTATGCACGCTTTTATTCTTTCACGTCTTGACTACTGTAATAGTCATTTGTATGGTGTTTCTAAAAAGGAAATAGCCATGCTGCAATCAGTTCAAAATAGGTCCGCCGGGATTGTTACCGGCAGTCGCTGGTGTGACCATATTACGCCAGTTTTAAACAGCCTCCACTGGCTGCCATTCATAAAAGAATTATTTTTAAAATTGCTGTTATGGTTTTTAGATGTCTGAACAATTTGGCACCCAAATATTTAGCCGATAGATGTTTGCAAACAAAGGAGGTGTTGAGTGACTATGATTTGAGATCAAGTAGTGCTAATACAGACTTAAGATTGGTTCGCGTAATTTCTCTGTAAGTGGTTTAGCTGTTTGGAATACTCTTCCTTGTTGCTTGCGTTAAACTGGATTATCACTGGGTCAGTTCAAGAGGGAACTTAAAACACACTTGTTTCGAATCTGAGTTTTAAAAACTTGCTTCTTTTATAAAGCTGTAAGTGTTATAATCGGCGCTTTATGAGTTTCCGAATAATAATAAATGATCAGTGAACAAGAGATTAAAATGAAGAAAGACTTGTTTTTATATTTTGTCAATTACTCCAAATATTACGGAAATATTGGAATATTTGGACATTAATGGAAAAGACACGAGAGTTATCAAAAACCTCTATTGAGACCAAAGAGCAGCGTATTCTATCCAGACTTGTATAGTGAAACCATCATGAGAAAGATAGAAGATCTACTTGGAATATCCATTGAAAGCGTGAATTTAAATGATGTACAATATGCTGATGATAGTGGAATCAATGGAAAAGCTGCAAACCATTGTTTCCAAATTAGTTTTTGAAAATAAAAAAAAAGGTATGCAAATTAACATCAACAAAGGAGAGTGCATGGTTATCAATAAAAGCAAAACTGTCCCAATCTGCTCCATAAACAAGCAGGTAATTCGCTGGTAAACAAGTGAAACAAGCCAACAGCTTCAATTATCTTGGAAGTCTGGTTACCTCAGGTTTTAAATGTGATGTGGATATCAAATGGTTTGGCAAAAGATGCATATTCCAAAATGAAAAACATCCTCACAAACAGTAAAATCAGAATATCAACAAAATTAGAGAGTTAAATTAAGAGCTATGAGTCCTGGACGAGTTCTAAAGAAATGAGAAAAAGATTGATGCTGCTGAGATGTGGTTTTTGAGAAAAATTATGTATGTATTAATTAAAACAGTCAGGTAATGAAAAGAAGAAATTAATACAAATAATCTGACGGGGTCAGATAAAGTTTTTCGGTCACATCCTACGGAAGGAAGAACTGGAAAATCTAACAATTCCTGAAAAGATTGCAGTGAGAAAAGATCGCGGTCAACATCGAATTATATTCGTTAAGTCCTTGTGTCACTTGTTGAATATCACCACATTTCAACTGCTACAAAGTGTTAAAGATCGGGTTTTGTGGAGTTCTATGATCGCCAATGTCCTGAAAGGATAAGGCACGAGAAAAAAAGATCAGTTTGTTTGTTATAGAAAATATCAGAAAAAAAATTTTGAAATGCAAACTTATTTTATTGGTGCAAATAGAATAAACAAAATATGGCACCACTTTCGCTCTATTATAAGCAATGCTTCTAACGTTTATAAACCTAATTGAGCTTCAAACGTTTATAAACCTCATTTAAAGGAAACAAGCATTTTAATATAAATTTTTTCCTTTATTAGTTGCTTTAATTAAATATAAACACAAATTATGAAAAAGATATATCCAAACTAAGAGTATTTTCATAATGAATGAGTTTGAAAAAAATTTGAAAAACATTACTTTAAATATAACTGAATTTTATAAAAAGCTATCCTAAAAATATTAAAAATAAGCAAAAAGAATTCTACCAGTACATTAATCAATAGAGAAAGGCAAAACCAAACATTGACATTGTATTTGTTGTTGATAGGGCAATAAATTGAGTTTATGTAATGATAAAGAAAAATCAAATATTTTAAAAGAATTTTTTGTAGAGTTTGTAATAAATCTGGTGTTAATGATTATGAAAATGCTTTCAAGATGTGTGTGAAATAAACAATTGAAAATTTATAAGTTATAAATCAATCAACCAATCTTCGTTTTGCGTCCAGAGTCCCGGTTCCCCGAGGTAGGACGTAAGTTATAAATAATAATAAAAAAAAATTAAAATGTAAAACATTTTAAAATCAATAGATGAAGTGTCTTTGAAATTGAAAAATTTAAATAAGTGTAAATCTGGTCCAGAGAACATATTTTCAAAAATTACGAATGGCTGTTTTGATTCGATTTTGGATTATTTAAGTCATTTGTTTAATTTATCATCAAATAAGCATGTAATCATGATGAATGGAGGCATAGTGTGGTTGTTCCCATACATAAAAAAGTGACGTATGTGGTTTTGAAAATTATAGACCAGTGTCATTAACATATGTTTGCTACAAGGTGATGGAATCAATAGACCATATCATTTTGAATAAAATGGTTTGTTTGATTATCGTCAGTATGG